TTTTGTTATTATGTAGATACATGTCACAGAGTTTGGTAGTAAGGTTATCATTATTGTTATTATGTAGGTACATGTCACAGAGTTTGGTAGGCAGGTGATCTTTATTGTTATTATGTAGATACATGTCACAGAGTTTGGTAGTAAGGTGATCATTATTGTTATTATGTAGGTACATGTCACAGAGTTAGGTAGTAAGGTGATCATTATTGTTATTATGTAGATACATGTCACAGAATAAGGTAGTAAGGTGATCATTATTGTTATTATGTAGATACATGTCTCAGAGTTTGGTAGTAAGGTGATCATTATTGTTATGATTCTAATTCACTACGTTCAACCGAACATAAAGCATTTATTATATAAAACTCAACACCCATGTATGTGAGTGGCCTTCGACGGTCAACCATTTTTCGAATTATTGTTATTATGTACAGACATGTCACAGAATAAGGTAGTAAGGTGATCATTATTGTTATTAGGTAGGTCAATGTCAAACTTTGATAACAAGGTGATGACAATTGATTTTATGTAGGTCAATGTCATTGTTTGATAGCTAGGTGACAATTATTGTCGTAAAGTAGGTTCATGTCACAGAGTTAAGGTAACGAAGTGACATTACTGTGATATTTTGGGTAATAATCGAAGCAAGGCGATAATTTTTGTCATATTGTAGGTATTTTTGACATTTTGACATTTATCTACAATTTCATTGAGATAATGATTGAATGGTGTTTCCTTAATGATAAGTGATGAAAATTTGGAAACGCATATGCGTTATTATACTTTTATGCATTTTGCATATCTACCTGATGACCTCTTTCCTTACAACTCAGCATGCTTCAACAACGTATACATCCTAGAGCTCTCAAGAGTATTACCACTAAACAGCTTCTACATATAACAGGCATGAGCTGTTTCTAAGTAAAACACTCGATTACCCAAGAGCTTTAAATGTGACATTGACCATAAGGAAAATAGACACATAAGCGTAACTTAGACGTGATTCAATAATGTATTTGCATACAGTAATAAATGAGACACGATATCGACTTACTTTAGGATTTTATTGCAGTAAACATATCGTATCTTCTAACTGCATCGAAGTTCTTCAACCTCTCTGGTATGTTGACAATATCGAGATGACGCATTCCTTATAAATTTACCACTTCGAAAAGTATATATCAGAAGGTAACGTCATGTTAGGCGTAAATTACCGATAAATGTACAGGCTTGTTGATTAAAATTAGAATAATTATGAGACACAATAAGTCATACTAGTTTTACAATCGTAAGAATATCTGCAAGCGCCAATTAGCATGTGTCTGCCAAGGGAATGTTGGTCAAATAGATGTGTAAGGTAGACAGCGCAGGTTTAGCCACCAAGCAGTGAGGTACAGGGTTTATGAAGCTCTGAAAACAGAAAAGGTTGATGTTAGCAGCCATCTAGCACGACGGATGACATCAATAACTAGCCAATGTTGGCGCCCACCATTTGTAAGATAGGCATGAATTTTGTTGGATCGATACGTTTGTCAACAATAAATGCATCATATGTTGCAAATTTGTAACTAAAACATCAAACAGACGGATAGAAAATGTCTTTACAAAATTAGCTTGTCTTTTGATCTATTTGTATGATTAATAAAGTGAGAAAAAGATTTCTGCTTTTCTTGGAGCTATTTTTTTCTTCCGATCAAGCAACTTGACCTGAAAAACGAAATCTTTGTGCAAGGGACATATCTATGAAATTTGGCAAAGTTATGTCAAGTACTTTTGAATAATATAATTACAAACTTGACCATTAACGACTACATTTGCCCGGACTAAAGGGTACCTACATATGAAAACTGAGAGAAATCTTTCGTCAAGGTCTTTTTGATAATTAGCGATAACAAACTTAACTGTCAAAATCTAAGATGGCTGACGGCCACCTTGTTTTCTTATCAGACTTAAAATGAGATATGCATAACTAAGGACCAAGGGGATTTTTAACATGTGAACTGAACTCTGAGGAGGATCTGTAAAGTCCTTTAGAAATACCGACAGCAAACTTAACAAAGTTCAAACTGGCTGCCTAAAAATGTAGCATGCATAAATACAGACCAAGGTAAATCTTCTTATAAAATTTATGATTAATCCGTCCGCTACTTCTTGAAAAATAGCAATAGGAGTAGTTGCTCAAGGAATGAGGGTTGTGGGTTAAACATTGGTGGGGGACATCGGGTTTTGGTTGCTGTCAGCATGTCAACCCCGTCTTCTAGATTGGGGGGAAATAATTCCACGATCTCGAGATATTAATGAATTACGCTCTTCCGCTATATATGACACCTTTTATCAAAACGCAAGCGACAAAAGAAAAGAAAAAAGAGCATACTATTGTACCAATTTTATATTGGACGACCGCATAAAGAGGAACAGTCAGCAACGATTCGTTTAGACTGTTATGACAAAAAATGTGTTCAAAGATACAGGTAGTCAATTATGTTAAATGGATTTTAGAGTTACCTTGATGACGTTACCCGAGGGATGTTCCAAATAAGGATATCGGGTAGTGTCCATAGCCCTACCGAGAGCCCAGCCAAAAGCGTTCAGCTTGCCATGATTGTACAGCAGGAAGACAGGGAAGAAATCGTCACATGACATGTCGGCTTTCACGTCATACCAGTAATGCATACCTATAGGAAAACAGATCGATCAGTCATATCGGATACTATATAGAGCAGGTGTGTTTATAAAATGGCATGTGAACAATATGACATATTAAGGTTACGTGTTGTACCACAGACAATTAAAGGAATTCAACGCTTTGATGAAGTTGGACATTCGTATAACATTTGCTTCAAATGACGCAAACAAAAGACATAAAATTATATCATTCATATTTAAAGAAACAGCATTGTTAATGCATTTGTTTGGATATTGTGATAGTATGTGTTTATTGTTTGAATAGGTGCGTAATGCTTTTCTATTTATTTATAAACTGTTATATATGTCACTAACATATTGACAGAAATAAGTAATAGTCAGACCCATAGAGACAAAGCAATGTCCTTTCGTCCACTTGGTAGTGGAGACGTCCGTCTCGACCATGGGGATTTTCAAAGAATCGGCGACAGGATCAGTACCGTTCTGGATATAGAGAGAGTCGCCAGTACCGTGAGAGGCGTACTGGGCCGCCGTCCTACCAATGCTGCAGATGGTGGCTATAATACAAATAATAATTACCTCGTTAACACGCCTTAATAATCGCGTTTTCAAAATGCACTTCATAATAATAGCGCTAATTACATTTTCTGGATAAATTTATCTATTGTATTTATTGTGAGTGCGTCAATTGATCAATGTGCTTATCTGTTTTTATTTCGATAATATGCTAAAATTGAGTACGTTATTGTAAGTACTTCAACATTAGTTTGAAGCCAATTTGTTCAGTGATTCTGGTATTATAGATGTAAGTACTTCAACATTAGTTTGAAGCCGATTTGTTCAGGGATTTCGGTATTATAATGTTCATCATACGTTGTGACAAACGTGTCACGTCATGTAGCAGTCTGACAGTATAGTGTTTCTAAAATAGTACCATTAACAGGTGGTAAGAATTGGTGTATAGTGTTTCTAAAATAGTACCATTAACAGGTGGTAAGAATTGGTGTATAGTGTTTCTAAAATAGTACCATTAACAGGTGGTAAGAATTGGTGTATAGTGTTTCTAAAATAGTACCATTAACAGGTGGTGAGAATTGGTGTATAGTGTTTCTAAAATAGTACCATCAACAGGTGGTGAGAATTGGTGTATAGTGTTTCTAAAATAGTACCATTAACAGGTGGTGAGAATTGGTGTATAGTGTTTCTAAAATAGTACCATTAACAGGTTGTGAGAATTGCAAATGTGACAAATCGGTTTAAAATTTCTATAAAAGAGTACCTAAATACATCGTGACAACTGTCAGTCGCTATGCAAATCTTGATAAATAGAGGATCATTCCCAACGATTGATGCTTGGTTATCATGTTATCTACCTTGAGTTAGTTAATATTCAAGTAGTATAAAGACACTAGGTTCATCGAATGTTTTTTACAATTTTGAATTTAACTAATGAGTTAATAGTGAATTCACGAGTTTTGGGAACATTTTCTCCCACAACTTTCAGATAGTATGTCTAGAATTATTACAAAGTGTCATAATTTGAGGATTGGGGAATGAAATTAAAGCCTGTGCGTTACCCACTAGTGGGTAACCAAACATGTTAACACATTCTTTATCAGGTTCATCGAATGCGTCGGATTGAGAACACCGGTGATTGCGGGGGAACCAGTGTATAATATTCATTGAAATACAAAACATTCATTGTTACAAATGTCAGCCCCTATTGAACTCCTAAAAAACCGATATGTATTGTTTATGAAGGAAATTCGTTCTGACAACTATGTAAGTTACTCTGACTTAAGTATATGTCCATGTTTACCTGGGTTGGGAAAGTAAGCGGTTACGAAGTACATGTTTACCTGGGTTGGTAAAGTAAGCGGTTACGAAG